CGGCCGAGGTCAGTGCCCCGCCGCGGTCGCGCGACCGAGGTCAGTGACCCCGCCGCGGTCACGCGACCGAGGTCAGTGACCTTACGGTAGTATGTATATAATATATATAATATATAATATAAAGTATAACATTATAAATATATAATAAATTATATGTATTATTTAATGTTATATATAATATAAATTGCACGCGGAAAAGAGGCAACAATAGGTGCAATAGATTCAACTTCAAACGCGCACTTCTCGGTCCAAATACCTTTTTTAATATAGGATTCTATGAATAAATAAAAACTAATTTATATGTGAGTTACGTACGTTTGCCGATTCGCATTTGATTCTTTCAGACGGACTCTCGCACAGATTGATCTTCGACGAATCGGTGCAGATCAAGCAGCTGGACGTGGTCGAGCAACACGGTATACTTCTGTTCCGCGCCGGCGACAAGGGCAAGGAGAGCAGCGTGTACGTTTTCCGATTGCGGGAGTTCGAGAGCGACGCGTCCGCCAGATGCGCCGAGCTGTTTAACAATCGCGAGAACAACGATCACGAGAGAGACGAGGATGACGACGACGAGGACGGCGAGGACGACGATGCCGATCGCAACGATGACGAATGCGACGGCGAGGACGACGCGGACGAGTGCGACGATTTTACGCGCGCTACCGCCAAGTTTCAACCGATGATGGCGCGTTCGCGTGCGCGTGTGCGCGTACGCGCGCCCGCCGTCAGAAGCCGGGCGCATATCAAGGAGAGAAAGCTTCGACGTACGCGAGGATGTAATCTGTACAGTATCACGAGACCCGGTGGTTCACACTTACGTATGGTAATGTATCATTTTTTCAAGTATCTCTTTTAGTTTTTTTTTTTTATGCTTTCGATGCGAACGACCACTGAATAGAATAAATCGAACAGACATCAGAGATAACACAGCCGGCAATTCTCGCGGATCATATATCTCCCTCGACATCTTTCCGCTCGCGGAACCGAGGAGCGGAAAGTTAGCGAGGCACTACTGTACATCAGTTATATTATAAATATGATTATTATTATAATATAATTAAATATATAATATATCATTTTAATTATGACTAACAAAACTAGAATTCCGTAAATGTACGTATAACAATTGTGATGCGCGAAACAGTGCGTAGTCGTCAATCGCCGACTGACGATCCTCCAGTGGAAGCACAACGCAGCCTGGACTATCTGGTGCTCGTCAGCCGACACCGACACCGTCGAGGGTTTCTTATTGCTGAAGGAGTTCACCGCGAGCGAGACGCCGACGTTGGTGACGATGATCGAGAGCGCCGATCCGGCGAACGAGTGGACGCTATGCTGCGGCGCTCGTAATCATTACGAGCTGATTTTCGCGTCCGGAACATCGCGAATAGTACACCTGGACGCGACGCCTAAAACGCATTTGGTCGCGGCGTTGGATCTTCGCGAGGACGAGGAACCGGAACTGTTACTCTGTTACAACAGTAGGTCGCGCACTGCTTTTTCTCTTAACGCTTGTTTGTTAATTATCTTTTCTTAATTTCGCTGAAAGAACTGACTAATATTGCTTCGTATGTTGGACACACACACGGGCCTTATTTAAAACACCTTTTTCTCTTAGACACGTGTCACTTTCAAAAACTGGCGGAAGACAGCACTGCATCGACCGAGTTCGACTTCAATTGGAATTCGATGCCGACAGTAGTAGGTGCGACAATCAGAAATCTCTTGTAGTAACAAAAGTGAAGCAAGTTATATATTCGTATACCGATCGCGCATTATAGTTCGAACATATTAAAGTTCGACGTTTTTCTTGAGAGAAATTTTGCTTGTTTGTTTGTGACAGCATGTGCCTTTCCATACGTGATCGCTTTCACTAACGACACGATGGAGATACGACTGATAATAAACGGCAATTTGGTCCACACGATCACCATGCCCAATCTGAGCTTGATCACATCGAAGAGAGACGTCTTTTTCGCGACCACGGCTCCGGAATTTTTCCCGGGAAAATGCGAGCGAATCCGTCTGGACTCGAAACCCTCCGAGGAAATGCCATGCAGTCCGCCACCTCTTGCGCAAACTTCGTCCTCCTCTCGATCGAGTTTTCAAAGTAACGTGTTCTCGGACTTTTTCGCCTTATGCACAAACGTCAAAACCATTCCTTTCCCCGATCGCTATGTCATACATTTGTCGCTAATCGTTTTGAGATATCGTCGTATTTTCAAGCAAGAATCTTCCTTTCGCAGACAGTCAGGGCGATTGGAAACCGATAAGAATTTATCGGATACCTCTGCAAACGCTCTCGAGAAACACAACGTCCAACTGTAGTCAAAGAAGATGCCCGAGTCCCGTGGAACCCGAAATCGTTTCTGCACCACCGACAGCCAGCGACAGAACGTTTCTCAGCGTCGAAACGCCTCGCGCGAGCAGATCCTGCAGCAGCAGTCCTACACCCACACCGACCACAAATATGCCGTCGCCATGTAGAAAATAGACGTGTAGGATATTAGTTTCTTTGGCGATCGCGCGAATTTCACTGTTTCAAATCATTAGCCCGTGATCTGGAGATCGTGATTGTGAGAACAAACAACCGACCGCACGTACCTGATTCACGTCCTCGTACATGAAAAAAAAAAATCGTGAAAATCTTCTGTCATTGTTATACACGCTGTTAGCGCGCGCTCGCGTGATATTGTGCACTTTGAATGCAAACGCGACGCGGCACAGATTACATATTTAACTAGACTTCAATGAGACATTAATGACTTAATTACGGACGCTTGTAGCGTAAATATTATTACGTTTCGATTAAAAAACTCAATATTTTCAATCGTTAATTTATTTTTAATTAATTTACGATATAAAGTGTGTGATATTTTCTGAAGTTCCAAGTTTCGTGAAGATTTCTCTTATCAAAAACTAAAAAACCTTATTTAAGGGATCGAACTGTGATTTTCCCTTCGCGTATAATCCGTAATTAAGGATTTAATGGCGTCAGAAAAAAACGACGTTGCAGACACTCTTTGCTTCTGGATTTTTTTAAATAATGTTGCATATTGTATGGTTCCTTATTGTTTTGAAATCAAAAAAAGAAAAAAACAAAAAAAGAAATGAAATTTACGCTACTATAATTGTGTAATATAATCAACGCAGAAAAATGAGATTCTGACGCGTGATCGGTCACATCGTGACTCAAATTTTAAACGCACCTATATATAAAAAAATATATATATATATATAATATGTATGTATGTGATACAGGCAATTTTTGAGATGCGTGTTGGTTTGCGCGCGATGAATCACACACATTTCTTCGAATACAAAGAGGGATGTATGCGAGGAATGTTGTCGGAAGCGATCGCATGTGCCGATCGATTTCCGAAGATCAAGATTGTTGGCTGCGCCGCGTATCTCCAGGAAGATTTACTTTTATTTAGAAAGTATACATTTCAAAAATGTGAATGATGAATACACGATGTATATGCGTCATGTATATATATATATATTATATATATATATAAAATATATATATAATATATATGTATAAAATGTACACGATAACAAAAATAAAATATATGTTACCGTTACATTTCCAACAAGAGGGTAAGTATTTTTTTCACTCCTTTGTTTCTTTCGTTTTTATTGCATTTTTCCTCCATTATCGATCGCGATCACAGTAAGTTGTTAGATAACAAGAGTGTTCCATAAATATATCCACTTGTTTTATATATATATATATCTTGTTTCGCACAAATGCACGTTGCGCTACTCTATTCTATCGGTGAATTGAATCACTACTTCTCTTAAAATAAGCTTCATGGAATAAGTTTCAACGCGTTGATTTGTCATTGTCGTATTCAGATTCCGATAACGATAAGAGATTTGCTCGGAAAGGTATATTCTTGTCAGATTTCTTGCAATCCACGATAAAAAATGTAAACTTATAAAAACAAAAATCAAGTCTTGTTGTATCGAACGATCTTTACTCAATTTGTCTGATTATACGTCGTAAGATTTGTTTTCACAGTTTTTATATAAGTTTGCGCTCGAGAAAAAGAATTTATAATCTCGATTTCCTTCCATGACAAATCTCGACCAAACTCGAGTATCGAATCGCGATACGAGTTTTGCCCTTGACACGCGTTTCACGTTGCAAATCTGTCAAATATATTTGCTTCTGATACCTGATACAAATTATAAAACATTACACGTCATTCTTCTCGAGATAGAGCAAGAAATTCTTTTATATAAAAAATAAAAAATCAATCGCCCGAATCAATTAACTCATTATTCTCGCAAGCTTGTGTTTAAATAATAAAATGAAGTTTTCTAACATAACAGTAAATTTGTTTGTACACGTAATATATATATAATACATATATCATACTTCTCTCAAGTCTTACGATTATTGAAAAACGATACGATACAATTTTCATCTTAAAGAGAGTTACGTTATCGTTTATCGTGAACGCGATAAACGACATTAGAGTTAATCGCGAACGTGTGGGACGCGTGTTATCACGCAAAACTTTCCATTTTCAAGCGATTGCTATTACGCGGAACGTATACACGTAACTCGACATTCCAACGCGGGAAGGCAACCAGTCGAACGCCATATCGGCGAACGCCGCGAGGAGCCTAGTCGAAGGCTCGTTGCGTTTGAAGCGACCGTCGGCGGTGTCGCCATCGCGCGCCGATGTACTGTATTATTCACGTCGACTTCGCGGCAGCACGGTCACCGTAAGTTAAAGAGAGAGAGAGAGAGAAAGAGAGGGACACGTTACGACAGAGTGAGCGAGACGAAGATGCAGGTATGAGGGCCACACACGGAAGGTTGTCTCGGAGAGAAAGAGAGAGAGAAAGAGAAAGAAAGAGAGCGAGGCGAGACGGGGGGAGAGAAAGAGAGAAGAGAAAAGAGAGACAGTCGAGCGCGAACTCGTGGTGTGTGGAGGTGCCACTGCCAGCGGAGACGGAGGTGGCCCCGTGTCTGTAGCTACCCGTGACCGCCCGTGGCTCGTGTTGTAACTCGTCGCTGTTGTAACGTGACGCGAAAGGTGCGTGCACGCGTCCCGGGTTTATTCGCCCGTTACCTCGTTGTCGAAAGCCCGCGGCCCGACACCGCGCGCGTCCACCGGGAGCAGCAGCGTGAGGTGCCCTCCCCCGCCGCCGCCGCCGCCACCGTCATCGTCGTCCTCGTCGTTGCCGTCGTCGTCGTCGTCGTCGTCGTCGTCGTCGCTCTCCTCTCTTTCCTCGTTTGCTCTCTGTTTCTCGTTTCTTTTCTCGCGCTCTCGCTCCTTCTCTCTCTCTCTCTCTCTATCCCGTGGCACGCGAGTGCGATCGGTGCAGCAGTGTGCTTAAGCCAGTGCGACGTGCGACGTTCTCACTCGCGGATCTCGCGCTACGGATTGCTCCGCGCTGTGCTCGCGCGATATGATAGGTGTCCCGACACGGTGCCGCGCGCACGTTATCATTGCGAAAAGACTGTCAGGAGTGCCTTAACTAACAAAAACTTCTCCGTAACCCGCCTCGGTTACGACACGACTATCGTTTACCGTTAATGTCACAGCGAGGACCTCGCGCGGGGAAAGTGAGAGAGGCGCCGCGGCGCCCCTCGCGACAATAAGGTAAGGATTATAATTTTTTGCGCCCGGTTTGTTTAACGACGTTGTAGCATGCAACAATCGGGGAATTCTGCTCTGAGAAAACGCGAAAGCAGTGCAACGGAGGTTATGTTTCCCGATGACCCCTCGACTCCGTTCTCGCGTCTCCTCGTCCGTTCCTCTCTTCCCCTTCTCTCAACCCTCTCCTGTGTCCTTCCCCTCCCCCAGCCTAGCCCTCCTAGCGCTCTCTTTCTCTTCGCGCGTCCTTCTCGCTCTCTTCCCTTCTCTCCTCTCTCTTTCTCCTCTCTCGCGTATGTACTTTGTTCTCTCTTCTCGCTCTCTCTTTCGCATTCTTTTTCACCGTAGACGTCACACAGCGGAGACGCGCGGTGTTATCCCCCCGCAAAAAATACAAATGTTTCGAGATTCGCGACCTGCGCGATCGCGATTCGCACACCTGGTGCGACGGATTTGTGTCCGCTGCACCGGACCGTGCACACATTCGATTACGTTCTTTTCTATTTCCCCACGACAGTTGGAGTCTATAGTTGGACGTACATGTGGAGGACGCGTACGTGTGTATATATCTAGTTTACACGTCTACGTACGTCTACGCGACAGTCGGTTTCGTAATCTCTCGATATGAGTTTCACACGAACTGTCAGCTGTCAGCCGCCATAGTGTTGTGCCACCTGTCTGAAAACTGAACGCGCGCGTGCGTGCTTGCTCTGTCTCTCTTTCTCTTAGCTCTTCTCTCTCTCTTATTTATTTATTTTTTTTTTTTTAGTTTTGTATTGATATATTTTGTTATGTGACATAACATTGTATTGTACACTATTTTACTTGGTGCACACTTTAGAGGATTTATCTCGTAGCGCTGAATAAATAATACTTTATCTCTCTCTCTCTCTCTCATTCTTTCTTCGTCTTTTTTCGCTCTTTTCTACATTGCACATACGTTTGCCTCCTCCGTTTTTTTTTCGCTCTTGAAACGTCAAACCGACTTCACCGAGTGAAGTTCTTCACGTTTGAAGCGTCTAGGTTAGAGCGTGGATTTTCTTTGAGAAAGGCCACGCGATCAGAAACAATTGGAGCGCGCTAGGCTGACGAGTAGAGAGAAGGCTTGTTGATATTTCGGCGCGCAAGCTTTCTGGCATGACAGCGCGACCGGCCTTGAGCCCCTCCTTCTTCCACGTGATCCCCGTTCCCTCCTCTCTTTCCTCTCTACTGTCTTCGTCTGTGTGATCCCCTACTATAGGCACTGCACGATACTACTGTGACGATACTCTATGGACCAGTGACGCTCAACACTGACCGGACACTGGTATTGGTCTCATTAAGATTTTCTCTCGAAACTCTTGCTTCTCTCTTTCTCATCTTTGCTTCAGAATCAAACTTCATCATCTTGATTTTACTCCGAAAAAGAAGATTAGCGCGTAAATCCGCGACAAATTTTGTTATCAAAGAAATCGCGCAACGCGCAACTTTAGGAACATCTAAAAACCTAATCGTTATGTAATCAGGTTTTATTTTCACGGAAGAGTATTTTTGAAGATGTGAGAGAGAGAAGAGAAAAATTTCTCAAGAAACATTAGACACTTTTCGTGTGTCTACGAACAATTGCTCGAAATTCATTTGTTTCTTGAAAGTTATTTGTTCAACAAAAATTAATTTCTTTAAGCGCGCAGTGGTCACAACACAGTCTGAGCAAAAGTTGAGTTTGAAGAAAAAGTTGTTAAATACACACACACACACACACACACAGTAGAAGAAAAATAAGATAAGTAATTTTAGGTGCCGAAAAATTACGGTCCTCGCCGTAAAATTGCGAAAAGTCACACGTTTCAGCGACTAAACTCGGACAACTTTGCGCGCTAATAGAAAATCGTGAGAAACTCAGCTTTTTGTTACTCTACGGAGTGTGATTTAACGTTGTTCCAAAGAGTCTGAAGGTGTTAAATTCGAAAGATTTCACGAAGAGAGAATTAAGCGGATATGAATCGTTAAGAAATGAATCCGAACGTTTCCGCTGGAAATCGCGATCGAAAGTCGCATCTCATGAATGATACATTCTCAAGGATCCGTAAGATTTACGGAGATTAAGGGGAAAAGCTCTTACCTCGACGAGGCATCACTGCTCTTTACAAACCGCGAGTCCCTTCGCTCCGTTCCCTTTCGTTCTCTCTTCACTCCCTCTTTTTCTCTCTATCTTCTTTTCTCTCTCTCTCTCTCTCTCTCTCTCTTTCTCTTTTTCTCTCCTTGGATCCCGAACCCAATCTCGTCTCATCTCGACGCGTCTTGTTCGGAGAGCGCGCTCAGGTCCTCCTCTTCTCCTTTCTCTCGCGGACGCGCGAAATCGCCGCCGAATCGCCGTCGAGCGGGCGTTTCTCAAGGTAAGAAAAGTAAGTGACCGAGAGCAAACCAGAAGAAATCGTGAACGTGTTAAAGCCGCTGCTTGGGAGCCTGGCCGGAGTTCGGCGGCGATTGAAGGAGCCATCGCGCGGAGAGAAGAGGAGATCGCGGGGAGAAGACGGGGAGAGGTAGGGCGAGAAAATCGCTTGTTTCGTTCTTGCTCGCTCGCTCGCTCGCTCGGTCGTCGCGGCGGCGGCGGCGGCGGCAGCGGCGGCGGAGAGAAAATGAAACGGGAACGAATGAACGGACGGGCGTTAGCCTGTAGCGGTATACGAACGTGCGCACGCCAGAGCGATCGCGACAATAGTATCGGGTACCATTTGCGGGTCGCGGCCGAGGCGACACGACGCTTCATAAACGCGCTGGATGTTTTCTCTCTTTCTCTCTCTCTTTCTCTCTCGTCTCGGATGTGCCGAGATCGAGCACTCCACCTTGATGACTCCACCTACATCATACGGTAGAATACTCCGTATGTCGTGCCTTGCCTTTCGCTTCGCTGTATACGGGGTGTCCCAGAATTGACCGAACGGTCAATCCAGAAAATTAAACGTGGTTTTACACTGGCGAGTTTCTTCTGCATCTGATTTTTTTTCCTTTGAGAAATCAAAATAGCACACAAGAGTCTCGCAGGTACTTATTTTAAAAATTACTGTACGTTTATGTAATCACGACTGTAACAAACACTCGTCTGTTTTCGCTTGTGAAAATGAATCATCCGCGGTCTGTCATCATAGTAATTGGTTGTTCTGTTTGTGTTTGTATTTTTATACGAGTTTAAAACCTGTGCGACATCTTCCGCTTATTTTTTTTTGTTTTTTTGTTTTTATTAATTGAGCAAAGTTTCGTATAAACTGATGTTAATCATCGCGCGGAATGTCACAACGCATGATTCCGTCCGCGTCGTCAGGTTTTTCTTTTACCTCCCGGTTCCTTCCCGATTGGACAGAGATTTGAGCGTGCAATTGTCTAAACTCTGAACTCTCACGTCCGTCGATTCAGCCCTTCAGTCGCGAGTTATCGCGTTTCGCCGCGGCAGGATGAGTCGCGCTAACGTCCTTCAGCAGGAAAAAGAACGCGCGTCTGATTAGATTAAACGCGCTCTACAACACACAACTTTTGCGCCTCTCTCGCGTTTTGCATCTGTACATGTTACATGCATATGCGCGCGCGGTCGCGAGATTTGCGCGCCTCGCGAAACCACCACCACCACCACCATCACGAGGCCAGTGCGAGTGAAACGGCGAAAGTTCGCTCATTGCACCCTCGTTTATGTGACCGCCGTTTTTTTCCCTACCGCTAGAATAATACGAAAGGTCACGGAACGCTTAGAAGAACTTTCTCTGCGTTTGTGTGGTTGGTCGTGTTAGACTCGCGTGCCAAGTAAAACTATATTTATCGCGCCGATACGCCGTGCGTTCTCTCCTTTTCCAAACTACGATTCGCACGGAGGAATCGATTCGATCCGCTTATCCATTTAGGTGGAATAGAAATATTTCACAACGACAGATGCGAAATTTCACGATGTTCAGGTAACTTCCGACGTCTCGCGCGTCGTTCCTCTCTCGACTGAGAGAATTCCCTTTCTCCGTCGTTCATTTCGAAATTTGTATCGAAAAATTTCAATTTTTCTTGTCAAAAAAAAAAAAAAAACGAAAACGTATTAGAGACAATAAGATTTGGTGAAGTTTTACAGAGTACAATTACGACGTTTTTACAAGTGCGGAAAAAATGCGCAAGAGCTCAAGAATTCTTCGCTTTATTTCGCGCATTTTCTCAACGAAACTTGAGAATTTTTTTTCTCGTCCGATTTTCTTAAAATAAATCAACGTCGAAAGTGAAGAGCAAATCTTTTATCAGGAAAAAAACTAAATTGCTTCGAGACAAAATTAGTTGCGGCAGCGATTTGTTTCAAAACAATTCTTTCTACGCCTCATCAAACGCGGAAAATGACGTAAGCTCTTAAACGTCGATTTATTGGTGTTGGTGATCATTACGATCGTCTACCAGTACAGGTCTTACAATATAATACGTACACGTATTACGTTTTCCTGAGCAAAACTAAATAGCAATTACGCAGTAAACCGTCTATACGAAGCCTGCGTGAGCTTACATAAGAGAACAACATCAGTCGCGCTAACAGCTGACGTAAAAGACAAAAAAAAAGAAATCGGAGATACCTCTCGCACTTACGTCCTCGCGCGACGAAAAATCACCTGCTTTACTAATAAGTCAGCTCTCGGGAAATCACTGTCGTGCAACATTGTCTTCGTGTCGGTGCGAATGTACGTTCGAACAGCGCCGAGATTGACGCTTCAATAATTCATAAATCCGCGAACACGTCTGTCAGTTAATCCGAGTTTTTGCCAAGGTGACGTACATAGTCGGCTTCTCTATGCTCCCGGACATCCCTCGAGAGAGTTCAGTGGCGTGTGTGAGCAAAAGTTTACGGTGGTGACGGCAAAACGGCAGCGACGGCGACAACGGGTCTATACGCGTTCGCGACCGTGTCTCTCTCTTTCTCTCTCTCTCGGGTAATCGCTACTCCAGATTGCGCAAGCACCTTTGGCGCGATCTTATCGTGTCGGTTGCAGCTCGTACACCGCACATGCATG